CAGACAGACAGACAGACAGACAGCTCTGGGCAGCATCTGCAGCTTCACCATCGTCACACCATGTTGTGTCTTTGTGTCCCTGAAGACCTACCAGGACCTGAAGAGGTTCTCCATGTTCAACGAATGGCGGCGCACATGGACGCAGCGCCCCCTTCAGGAGGCAGCGAGAGTGAACGTTCAGTGTCTGATCCCAGACGTTCATTCTGAAAAACTTACTATTAAATGATCCTGAAGAGACGCTGTCTCCTGTGCTGCTGTGTATGTACAGCAACATGACCATAATCTGGATCTGATTTGAGTTGATTTTAAACTGCAGCACACAAAAGAAGTGGTAGAACGTATATAGAGTCATATTTTTGCAGTAGTTGTCACTTATGATGTGTGAGAAAGCAGAAGCCTTTCTTTAAGTTCTCTGTCATCGTCATGGTTGCTCTGTGTCCATAGAGGTACACGACTTTATATTAAAGTGAATGAGCCCTAAAGATGTGTCAGGAGCACAAAGATGACCAGATGTCGTTCTTCTAGCCTTCTTCTACACTCACATCAGACACACACAGTCTTCGCCAGCGGGAGTGTCGGCAGCCTGGAAAATCCAACGCAAAGAACGAGCCGCATGGTTTCTGGTTATTGTTCTTGGAATCACAGACGGTGCAGGTTTTAGTCTTTTAGCACGATTTATTCCTGAAATGCATCAGTTTTACTCCAAATACAGCTGAGCTATTTCATCTCACATCACCAGCCTTCTTCTGTTCAACCGTCATAAACAAGGAGTTTTTATGAAGATGCCTGTGAAAGTTTGGCTTCATATGTCAAGTACTTGCTGAGATAAATTTTGGAAATCTGAAGTTCACAAAAATCTTCAAATTTAGAATTACATTTTTAAAACTAACGAGCTAAAAAAATACATTTAAATTAAAATACTTACTATTTATTTTCCAAAGCCACAAGGAGCCACAGCAGAGGGATGAAAGAGCGGCAGGTTGCCGACCCCTGGTCGAGCCATTTCTCTTTAGCTTTCATGCAACATAACCCCAGCTTACCCCTTACCACTGCTGTGTGACTGCAACAACCGGAGGATCTTTACTTAACTTTTGTTAGAATCAGCCTGATGTTGTTCTTTTCATGGGAGCGCACGACTTCTGCCTCATCTCAGACAAGATCATCAATTTTACAAAATGCGAGCTCGCTAGGATGAGAAAAACTTCATTTGTGAGATGCATAATTGATTCTCCAGACTAACTGTGGATGATAAATTAAAGCCAAGTCTTGTGTTATTCATGCAAACTGTTATACAGAACGAGACCCTTCTTCCATGCGTGAGCTGCTTGTTGTCGTGGATTTACGACATTCAGCCGGTCAGTGAACAAGCTACAGAATGAGAGCTGTTACGTAAAGAGGCTCTTCTACCTGGAACAAGCTACTGAATGAGATCCATCAAAGATCATCAACTTAAAAGGACTTTTTTGTTGGTGTTTTGTACCTTTTGGTTTGTTTTTATTTGGTTTTTGGTTCCATATTTAATTTTTATATGCTTGACATTTAATCCATCTTATTCCTCAGAGTGTCTAACACTGAATGTGGTATTTTTTTGTTGACAGATATTCAGATCTGTTTACACATTTGCCAGAAATATCACGTCCATCCTGCATGTTGTAAAGTGGCTGGTCTCTGTTCAGTGGTAGCAGACTGGTTAGCATGTCTGTCCCACACGTGTCCAAAAATCTAATTACCTGAAGGTGTTTCTTCAAGTTCGACGTGGAATCTTTGGAAAGCAGAACTGCAAATTAATGTTGTTCTCCAGATTAGCCCACTCTGGCAAACTAGTGATGTCTTTTAGGTTTCAGACGGAGTAACTTAGGAATGAAACTCCATTCATGTCACCACCTGTTTTCATTGTGACTGCAGCGACATGAATTGCTCATATTTCACTCCTTTTTGCTGCCTGCTGCTGTGCTTCTTGTGCCTTGTGTTTGCAATGCCATCAGTTTTGATATCTTGCTGTTTTTTTCCACCAGGACCCCAGAAGCAAGCACAAGTTCAAGATTCACTCGTACGGCAGCCCCACCTTCTGCGACCACTGCGGTTCGCTGCTGTACGGCCTCATCCACCAGGGCATGAAGTGCGACAGTGAGTATCAGCCTGCACATGAGCACCTGAGCACCTGAGTCCAATGTGCTGCGCTGGTTCCCGTCCAGTCTTAATGAGGACAGATGGGAATAGGCTGGGACTGAGCTAGGATTCACCGGCCCGCCCTGCTGCTCCCATTCTTTCCACCCACTTTCAACTTCCTTTTCTTTCTGTGTCCTGCATCGTGTTTTCCTCCCTCTCCTTCTCTTTCCCCATTGTTTCCCCTTCACTCTTTCACTGTCTCTTCCACAGCACATTTACAGTGTTTCTGGCTCTTGTATCCCTCACTGTACCTCCTCTGTCCCCTCTCCCCTCCTGTTTCCACGCCATCGCCATCCATCACCCTCTCCTCCTCGTTCTCTGTCCATCCATCTGTGGGTCTCCGGTGGTGGCCTCATCGCAGATGGTAATGGGAGCGCACCAGAACAAATTGATGTGGGGAGGCCGTCGCTATTACGAGCTGCTTCCCCATCTCTCGTCTCTCCTTGTCACCTCCCAGCATGTCAGCCTGACAAGCCTGCCAAGAGGAGGAAGGAACAGGGAGAGACGGATGGCTGGATGGACGAGGACAGAACGTAGAGGGAGGAGAAAAGGGCGAAGAGGTTAGAGAGGGCAGCCTTTCTCACAAAGTTAAGGGCCATATTTTAAAATGTAAGACTAGATTTCCTATGTACAGTGCCTAAAATTCACTCCCCCTTTTGTTACTTCTTAAAACTGAATAGTGGGCAGTGTAATTTGTCTTTATGTGACAGGTCTTACAAAGAAATACTCTTTTACATCATAGTGAAGGTCGAAGTTGAGGTCTGGGCTCTGTCT